TTACTTTCATTCATTAAAGAGATATAACACTTAACACATTCTTCATTTTAATCAAATTATGAATAAAATAAAAGTGTAAGAAAACTTATCATAATAATTACATCAAATTCCATGAATAAATTAAATAAGAAGATAAAGTAAAGTTGAATACCGCAAAATCTTAACCGAAGCTCGATTAGAACACCCACAACTTTTGTAGGTTGTTTGTGATGGTATATGTGTTTGTGTTGATATGAAAAAAAATGGGTAAGGAAGAAAAGATGTGCATGTATGATTATTGTTTGAAAGAAGAATAAGTAAAATGGAAGTGTTTTCTTTTTTTTTCTTCTTGCTCGTGTAGTATAGTGTTGTTTTTTTTCTCTCTCGTGTTTTCTGATCCTCCTTTGCCTGGGTGTGTTGTCTGTTGATATAGTAGTAGTAGTAGTAGTATGTATGTGTTGTGTCGTGTGTGTAGTGTACTAGTGTGTGGGTCGGGTAAGTGGGGTAGTGGGTAGAGTGGGGGTAATGGGATGGTTAGATTTTTTTTTTGTTGTTGTTGTTAATAAATAAAAATATAATAATAATAATAACTAATTATTTTGGAATTAATAAAAATATAGAAAAATTAAATAGCTAGATCAAAAAAAATATAATTAAGAAAATATTAAAATTACTAATTTATTTACTAAATTTTGGATAAATTAAAAACAAAATGTACCTTAAAGTGTGACTCTATTTTTGTTATTCTCAAATCTTTTTAAAATAAACTTAATAAAATAAGATAAAAAATCAAAATATTTAATTTAGATTTATAAAATATTTAAGCTCTAAAAATGGTGGTAAAAGTTTAGGTTTGGTCAAAAATTACGTGTCTACAGGGGGTAGTGGTGGTGACGGTGATCAAAGTAGTAAAAATAAATTTAATTTCTTTTAAAAAAATAAATTTAATTTTTTAGGTGAGGCGTTGGAGTTGGGGGTGGGGGTGCGCAGGTTAAATTTCAAAGTTCTAAGTATTTTTTTTCTTGGGGATGGGGGTGGGGTGTGTGGGTTGAAGAGTACTTTTTGCTTTTGAAGCTTTTAACATGATCCCTATAATAATATGGATAACCATATTATCCATTGGATAACTCGTTTTTACCCATTTAAAATATGAGTCGAGTCGAGTATTTTACCCATTTTTATTTAACTCATATTCGATCGACTCATATTCGACTCGACTCACTCGTTTGCCACTCCTAGTTATGACCTTTCCGGAAGGTTGTGACTTTTCCAAAGGGTTGTGACTTTTTCGGTACGGCATAATAAAAACATTTTCACACTACCTTTTGTTTTCTATAAATTGAGGGATTTTCTCTCATTTTAATATAACCAATTTTCTGGACTTCTTCTACTACTACTAAATCTAGTATTCTAAGTGCACTTTACTGCCGTTGAGTGGTTTGCTGACACCGTGGTTTTAGGTACCGATATACCAGGAGGATATACTCCATTAACCTCGAGTACTTGAGGGTAGGGGTGTGTATTCGGTTTGGTTTTACACTATTCGGTTTGGATTTTCGGTTTTTGGTTTTGTAGAAGTGTAACCCAATCCGATCCAAAATAAATTTGGTTTGGTTTGGTTTGGTTTTCCTCTATTCGGTCCGGGTTTTTTTGGTTTGGTTATTTGGTTATGTCAATAATTAATAACATATATAACCAAAGTAATAATATTTAATCCCTTAAATATACTTTCTAATATAAATCATAAGTAAAACTTAAAACACAATACTTATAAGTATACTTTTATAGATGTAATTCAAACATAAAATATAAATGTAATCATCATGAAAGCCAATAACCAAAAAGGGTCAAAAGTGGTTAACTCCAACTTAATTCTAAACCTAAACATTATATATATATATATATATATATATAGTTCGGTTTTTTTCGTTTAAAATCCAAAACCAAACCAAAAAACCAAACTAAGTAATTTATTAATCCAAAACCAATCCGAAAAACCAAAAAACCAATCCAAATAAAAATTCGGTTTGATTTGGTTTGGTTATTCAGTTTAATCCGAATAGTGCACGCCCCTACTTGAGGGGAATAATTTCCTTAAGGGGACACTGTGCATTCAGTGGGCTCGCTTTTTTTCTTTAATAAAAATATTTTGTATATTGTTTCTAATCTGTTTCTGATTCTATTTTCTCTACTGGTTTTAATTTTCTAGTTTTTGAAAATGCTCTTTAAACTTGTTGTTTCTTCTTCAGAGTTTTTGTTCTAAGTATCTTAGGAATACAAGATGAACAACAATCTTAAGGAAATTATTATATTATTGGTATTTCTTGTATTCTATTGATTGACGGAAACAGATCATGAAAGTAGAAGATTAATGCACTACTTCTCCAGAATTCGGTGCTTTGTTTAGCAAGGTCGAAGTGAGAATGTACCAGAAAAATTGGTGGTATTCCGGTTAAAGATTACACCAGGTAACCTTCTTATTATTTATCTAAGGAGGAAAATAGTTTCTAAAAGTTAACTTTTTGACATTTATCATGTGTGTATTTGGAAAAAGATATGCAAACCATTTGTTTTGAATGAATTTTCCTTGGCAAAGAGTGTTGCCTTTAAAATTCTTAGTTTGCAGAATGAGATATGCATATTTTAGTTTGATAATATAGTATGTCAAAATGTTATAGCTGGAGGGCTATTTGAAAAGAAAAGCATATCTATGTGATAATCTAAGAATATATTTTATTCTGTTTGGAGACTAAATTTTTTTTGTATTTTTTACTTCATGTGAAATTTGATTGTGTCTGATTTTTGTAGACTAAAGACTCTTGTAGTTTTCTACTCTGGATAAATTAGACTATGCAATTGGTTTGAAGAATATGAAAACTTCACATAATAAGTTAATGTGTACTTATGATTTTCTATAAACTACAAAAAAAAATTGTTTTTATTGTTAGTATTCTAAATACTAAGTGGTATGTCTATTTGTGATAGAGGAAAAATATCAGTGACTTAGAGTTTGTGATTTTGTGTTTCTATGAAATAAACTTTGATATTGTGTAAAGATTGTCAAAGAGCACTATAATTCTTTTGTAGAATAATATTTTCAAAAGAGGTTTCATGTTGCCAATGACATTTTGATAGTATGAGAAAA